TCTCCCTTTGACCAGCCCTCCATCTAATAACTTATATATGAAGCTTCCATGGCTTCTGTGATTCCAAACACATCAGCTGATGGTAGTTCCTTATGTTGGGATCAATGTCTCTGAAGTTTAGTCGTAATGTTTCCCGAGCAAAGGTGATGCATCCTGTAAAACTGGTGTGTAGATAGGCTTTTCTAGCCCTAAGGACTAGGCCATTTAAAAACACCCTGTTGTCGATTCAGAACTGACTCATAGCTGACCTTCTGGTAGGGTTTCATAGGCTGTAAATGACACGGGAGGAGAATGTCCATTTATTGCTCGAGACATAGCTGGTGGATTAGAACTCGTCACCTCTGGATTGGCAAATTCCCTACCCAAGAATAGGCCACAAGAGCTCCCTTACTGGTAGTTGTGTTGTTGTTTACTGTCGAGTCGGAACCGACACATAGCAGACCCTCCAGAGGGTTTTCTGAGGCAGTTAATCGCACAGGAGGTGAAGGCTCATCCTTCTCCCACGGAGCAGCTGGTAGCCTACAACCACGTGCCTTCAGGATTGCAGCACAGCTTCTTGCCACTAGGCCAGACTGTCCTGCCCTTGAGCCACGCCCCCAGGAGATTCCCCCTCCCCCCGCCAATTCAGGCCACGCCCTCTTAGCTGTCAGATTCTGTCTAAAGCCTCCAGGTCTTAGCCCTGCCTCTCAGCAGGCTAAGCTCCTCCCAACCCACTGTCTACAAATTCAAAGACTCTGAGCCTCACCTCTTCTCTGGCCCATTCCTCCACAGGTCCCACTTTTCTCTCTCTGTCTCGGTTTGGTCTCTTTATATTGTTGTTGTGTTTGGGTGTCGACGACTCATAGAGACCCTGTTGTGAACAGCACAGCCATACCCTGACCTGTCCTGTGCCAACTTCATCATCTCTGATTAGTTCTTTGTTATAGTCACTGTATCAATCCGTCTTGTTGTGGTTTCCCCGACTCCCCACCTTTACAAGAACGATGTGTTTTTCCAAGGACTGGCTGCTCCTTATAGCCTGCTTGAAGGATGCGAGATGAAGTTTCACCATTCTTGCCTAAGGAGCACCCTGGTTTCAGTTTCTCCAAGACATATTTGTTTGTTCTTTTGACAATCCATGAGATATTTAGTATTCTTCTCCCTCACCACAACTCTAAAGCGTCGATTCTTCTATTCGTGGTCCAGCTTTCCGATGCACAGCTGTGCCTTCCAGCGCTCCACTCTCTTATCAGGATCCATTGCTTTCCATCTTACCATAGCCTCTCTCTTTTCTCCGTCTTAGCCTCTCCTTACATATATATATTTGTGTATTTATATATATACACACACACACACACACACACACACACACACTTACCCTTTCCAAAGCCCACCACCCTGTGCGTGGATGTCCCCCCCTTTTTTATTAATTTTATTTAAAGTTTACAGAGACCTAGGGTTTCCAGTCATTTACCGCTGCACACCTCTCCTTCCCCAATTCACTCCTCTCCTTGAAAAGAAAGAGAAACTCTTCCATTGTTATGCAATTCCCCCCCCCCCCCCCCTTCAAGTGCTCTCCACCATGTAGCCTTCATTCTGGACTTCTGTAATGGCAAGTATACCCATTCATTTGTCCCTTTTTTTAAAATTTTATTATTTTTGTGTGCATGTACCGTCAAATCGGATCTGACTGGTACAGGAGGAGATTGCCCCTCCTTCCCCGGCAGAGCATCTGGTGGATTCGAACCGTGCACCACTGGGATTGTAGTTGCAGCTTCTTGCCACTAAGCCACCAGAGCTCCCCTTCATTTGTCCCTTTTAAACAGTTCTCTCCCTCATCTGCTTCAATACATCATTCCTCTCCTCCTTTTCTGTCTTCCCTCAACCCTGATGTCAGTCACATTTTACAACAGTGGCCCTATGCAATATTTGTCCTTTTGTGACTGAGATATTTCACTCAGCATAATGTCCTCCAGGGTCATCCATTTTGCATAATCTTTCATGAGTTCCCTGTTTTTTCAACGCTGCATAGTATTCTGTTATGTAAATATACCAGAACTTCTCTATCCACTCACTTGTTGATGGGCACTTAGATTGTTTCCAACTCTTTGCTATTGTGAACAAAGCCACAATAAACATGGGTGTGCATATATCTGCCTGGGTGGCAGCTATGGTTTCTTTAGGGTAAATTTCCAGTAGTGCAATTGCTGGGTCAAAGGGCATTTCTATTTGCAACTTTTTGAGAAAGCACCATACAGCCTTCCATCGTGGTTGCACCATTTTACACTCCCACCAACAGTGGAAAAGGGTTCCCTTCCAGTTTTTCCACAATTTCGCTAGCATTTGATGTTTGCTGTTCTGTTAAATTTTGCTATTCTGACTGGGGTGAGATGATATCTCATAGTTGTTTTGGAATCTCCCCCTTTTTTAGCATATTCAAAACAGATTGTGCCCGAGGACCCTTCGTTGACCACGCCCCCACTCTACCTTCTTAGATCGAGCATCCCTGGGCCACGCCTTTGACAGGGTCTAGCTTTTTGTGGGCAACCCCGCGGACTGCGCCTGTCCCAGTGGACCCTGCCCACCTGTCTGCAGTACTCCAGCGCGCGTTGCGGGTCCTGGAGACATCTTCGCGATCGTTGTGGATCTGGCTCCCAGCGGCCGGTGCGAAGGTCCCGGTGAAGGGTTAGGCGCCCACATAGTCCTGCCACCTGGGCCGACCCTGGGGCCTGGAGGTGGGGGTGGGTGGGAGCCGAGTGGTCAGTGAGGGTCCAGGGTCCAGTGACCTGTAGTCTCCTGGCACTTCGCTCTCCAGCACCCAGATGTTCAGACCCCAGCACCGGCTCCCTCCCCAAGCATCGCGCACCCGCCTCCGTGGAGGCACCATCTCCCAGGAAACAGCGCCTTCAGGGCGGGGGCGCGCCAGCTCTCTCCGTTGCTATGGCGACCCGGGCCCCCGGGATTCTAGTGGCCTTGTTGCCGCGGAGACAGGCTCCGCCTCCACCCCACACCGTGCAGGAGTCAGAAGGGGTTAAACTGGGATCGCGGGGGAGGAGGCCAGAACCCAGGCATCCTGGCCCCTCCTCTCTCCATCCCAGACTCAAGCTCTCATTCCTGGATGCAAAGACCAGGACGCCTGCCCTCAGGGCCTTGTAGGTCTGGGCACCAAACCCTCGGAGGATGGGAGCCCCCTCCTAGGTGGTTATGAGGAGGGCCCACCTACAGGTCTAGAGGCTGCGTGGGGCTTGGACTCTCGGACCCAGATGCTTTTCTGCCTGGTGGTTCCAATGCTTAGTGGGAAGGGGCTTTGGTCGTCCTCTAGGTGGCGAGATCTGCAGGGGACTGGACTTCTGGGTCCAGGGACTCTGCAAAAGCCATTTCTGATGTTTAGGGGCGGAGGCTGGCATGTCAGATGAAGGGGGCGCTGGGGCCTGGACCTCTGGGTCCGTGGTTTCTGAAAGGCCCAGTGCTGCTGGAGATCGCCTAGGGGCCAATCACCTGACCGCACTTTCTGCCCAGGACAGGTCTGTCGGGGTGCAGACGCCCGGTCCCGCCCTTCCCCCACCCCCCACGACCTGGCCCAGCCTCACCTCAGCCGCGCCGGGGCTCCCACCACTCAGGCTCCCGGTGGCAAGCTGCGCGCGCAGAAGCAGCAGTAACAGGGGCAGCAACAGAGGCAGCAGTGTCGGGCCCTGAAGGCGACCCAGACCGCGAGTGGCGGGGCAGGCAGGCCCCATGTCCCGGCCGTCGCGCCCTCACGTCCCCGGCGCTCCCGCCCGGCCCGTCCTGGCCCCAGCGGTGACAGGAGCTCCCGGCGCCGCCGCTACCACCTCCTCTCGCGCCTCCCCGGGCTGCGCCGGCGCCTCTGGCCCCGCCCCGCGCCAGCCCCGCCTTCTTGGCCAGGACAATAGCGTGGCAGCTCTGCGCAGCGTGGAGCGCTCGGCAACATAGGGTGAGGGGGGGGCGCAGGCGCCCCTCGAGATCACAGGCGTTCACCCCATGCAAGGCTCGACCAGCTGGAGTCATGGGCCCTGGAGATACGAATTCCAAGTCCTCCCTCAAGACCCACTTTACCCCTGATACCCACCCATCTCTCCTCCCAAAGACTCACCCTCCTCCAGGTGTGCTGGCATTGAGGGCCTCCCTAATTTCTTCTTGAAGTCTCAGACCTCCAAAATTTCCAGTCAACAGCATAACAGCTGAGGCTCAGTCTCCTTCTCCTTCAGACCCAAGAATCTGGCCCTAGTCCTTTTTGCCCTCAGAACCAGGCATTAAACCCAATTGCTCATTCTCACTTATCCAGACCTTCAGCCTTGCTTCCTAGGGGCGCCAGGTGACCGGACCTTTAACTGCCTCTTAGCGCAAGGATCCATGGACAAATGTCCCAGGTCACTTAAATCTAGGCTCCCCAGGACCTTACCCATCAAGGATCCAATGTCTCAGGGTAAAGAACCGGGTCTTTGTTCTAAGCATCAAATTATTTTTTTCCCCCACCACGAAACATCACCCCCATTCTCACAGCCCTCTTCTTTTTAGTGCTTTGTTTCCTCAGATTAAATTACAAAATGTCTATTTTCCACATGCCAACTGGGGAAGCCGTTATATGTGTACATTTGTATCTGTGGATTCATGCCAATTTGTATGGTTTTGCGTACATGTGTGTGTAGGTTGTTGTTATTGTTATGTGCCATCAAGTCGCTTACAACTAATAGCGATACTATGTACAACAGCTCTGAACCCTGCTCTATCCTGAGCCAACTTATGGTCTCTGACACACCAGTTCCCATTACCCCAGTCACTGAATCAATCCATCTCATGCAGGGTCTTCCTCTCTTGCCCTGTGCCTCTACCCTCCCAAGCATGACGTCCCTCTCCAAGGACTGGTCTCACCTTGCAACATGCCCAAAGTATGTCAGACGGAGCTTCAGAATCCTTGCCTCCAAGGAGCAGCATGGGTTTACCCTCTCCAGGACGAACTTGTTTGTTCTCCTAGCAGTCCGTGGTATATTCAATACTCTTCTCTGGCACCACAGCTCAAAGACATCAATTCTTCTTCTATCACCCTTAGTCATTGTCCAGCTTTCTGATGCATAGCAAGTAATTGCGAAGACCATGGTCTGGATCAGGTGCACTTTAGTCTCCAGGCTGATATCGGTGCTCTTCAGTATTCTGGAGAGATCCCTGACAGCAGACATTCTCAGTGCAGTTCATCTTTTGATTTCCTGGTTGCTGGTACTAAGAGTATTGATTGTGCAGCCAAGGAAACTAAAGCTAACAATCTGAATCTCTTCACTGTCCATCATGATGCTGCCAATCAGCGGTGAGAATCTTTGTGTAGAGGTGTAGAGGTTGTTGTTGTTGTTATTGTGTGCTGTTGAGTCACCTGCGACTCATAGCGACCCTATGTACAACAGCTCTAAACCCTGCTCTATCCTGTGCCAATCTCACTGTCTCTGACACACCTACTCCCATTATCCCAGTCACTGAATCAATACATATCATCAAAGGTCTTCCTCTCCTGTGCTGTCCTTCCACCCTCCCTAGCATGATGTCCCTCTCCAAGGATTGGTCCCTCCTGTAACATGTCCAAAGTATGTCAGACAAAGGTTCAAAATCCTTGCCTCCAAGGAGCAGCCTGGTTTAACCCACTCCAGGGTGAACCTGTTTGTTCTCTTAGCAGCCCATGGTATATTTAGTACTCTTCTCCAACACCACAGCTCAAAGGCATCAATTCTCCTTCTATCCTCCCTAGTCCGACTCTCCGATGCATAGCAAGTGATTGCAAAGACCACGGCTGGTATGACATGCAACTTAGTCTCCAAACTGACTGACATTACTGCTCTTCAGTACTCTGGAGAGGTCTCTGACAGCAAACTTTCCCAAAGCAATAGGTCTTTTAATTTCCTGGCTGCTGGTGCTAAGTGTTGATTGTGGAGCCAATCAAACTAAAGCTGTTTACAATCTCAATCTCTTCACCTCCACCGTGACGCTGTCAATTGGCCCAGTTGTGAGAATCTTTGTTTTCTTGATGTTGAGATATTGATATTCAATCCATATTGAAGGCTGCAGTCCTTGACCTTCTGCAGCAAGCGCTTCAGGACCTCCTCAGTTTCAGCAAGCAGGGCTGTGTCATCTGCACAGCACAGATTGTTGATTCATTTTCCTCCAATCCCTGATGCCACACTTCTCCTCATACAGGCCAGCCTCCCAGATAATCTGTTCTGCATATAGATTGAAAAAGTATGGAGATAGGACACATCCCTGGCGTACACCCTTCCCAATTTTGAACCATGCAGTGTTTCTTGCTCTGTTCTGACGACTGCCTCTTGGTCCAAATATAGGTTTCACATTAGCACGATCTTTTTGATCCTTTTCAATCGGTATGCAGAACAGATCATCCGAGACACTGGGCTGTACCAGGAGGAATGTGGCATCAGGATTGGTGGAAGAGTCATCAACAACCTGCATTATGCAGATGACACACCCAGCTTGCTGAAACTGAGGAGGACCTGAAGCGCTTGCTGCAGAAGGTCAAGGACTGCAGCCTCCTATATGGATTGAAGCTCAACATCAAGAAAACAAAGATTCTAACCACTGGGCCAATTGTCAGCATCAGTATGGATGGAGAAGAGATTGAGATAGTTAACAGTTTTAGTTTTCTTGGCTCCACAATCAACACTCTTTGTAACAGCAGCCAGGAAATCAAGAGACGAATTGCATTGGGAAAGTCAGCTGTGAGGGACCTCTCAAGAGTACTGAAGAGCAACGATGTCAGGCTGGAGACTAAGGTGCACCTGATCAGGGCTGTAGTCTTCGCAATTACATGCTATGCATCAGAGAGTTGGGCAGTGAATAGGGATGATAGAAAGAGAATTGATGCCTTTGAGCTGTGGTGCTGGAGAAGAGTATTGAATATACCATGGACTGCTAGGAGAACAAACAAGTTTGTCCTGGAGAAGGTGAAGCTGGAATGCTCATTGGAGTCAAGGATTCTGAAGCTTCGTCTGACATACTTTGGGCATGTTGCAAGGAGGAACTGATCCTTGGAGAGGGACATCATGTTTGGCAGAGTGGAGGGGCGGTGAAGGAGAGGAAGACCTTCAATGAGATGGATTGACTCTGTGACTGGAGTGGTGGGAATAAGTGCATGTGAGATGGCTAGGTTGGCACAGGATAGAATGGCATTTAGAGCTCTTGTACATAGGGGTCGTTATAAGTCGCAAGTGACTCGATGGCACATAACAACAACAACAATTAGCACAATCAAGTGTTCTGGGATTCCCATTCTTCTCAGACTCAGCCAGTTTTTTGTGGTCCACACAGTCAAATGCTTTTGCATAATCAAGGAAACACAGATAGACATTCCTCCTGTACTCCCTGTTTTCAGCCAAGATCCATATGACGTTAGCTACAATATCCCTAGCACCACGATCCCACAGAGGTAGAGATTCATATCAAAGAGTGCCTAAAACTGCTGACTGCTCCAAAAGGAACCACAGCATAAGGTTTTAGACAGAGTGGGGGGAAATGTGTAACAAAACTCAAATGCATAAATATATGGCCAGGCTTGCTGGCCTGACAGATGGATGGAACCCTCAAGACCATGGCCCTCAACTACCTTTCAAACCTGGAACAAAACTCAGCCCTGTGGCTCAACTTTCCCCCAAACAACAGCTAGATCTGTAAAGTGAACCCGGGCAGTAGGAACACTAGGAAGTGGTCACACCTTGGGTTAACAATTACATAAAGTCAAAAAAGCAACATGTACCCAAGGATAAAGCCCAGTCAGCAGGAAGGGGTAGAGTGGATTAATTAAAGTAACAGACAGGAAGTGGGAAAAGTATTACATTGTTGTTATTGTTAAGTGTTGTAGAGTCCAGTAGGATTCATAGCAAACCTACAGATCTACACCCTGCCCTGTCGGAGCCTTCTTTATCATCTCTGATATACTTGATCCCACTGCTCAGCCACTGTCAGTCCACCTCATTAAGGGTCTTCTTCTCTTTTGCTGACCCTCTACCTTTCCAAGCATGATATCTTTTTCCAAGGAATAGTCTCTCCTAACAACATGCCCGGGGAGTTCTGGTGGCTTAGGAAAAGGAACTGTGCTGTAACACTGAAGTCGTTCAGTCCAAATACACCAGCTGCTCCTCAGAGGAAAGTCTTTATGCAGAAGGGAAAGCAGTCAACTCTCGTGTAATTTAAGACTTGCTAGAGAGGGTCAGCTGCAGGTCATTTCAGAGTCTATGGTTCACAGCAATATACCCAAAGTATGTGAGATGAAGCTTCACCATCCTTGCCTCTATGGAGCATTCTGGCTGCACTTTCTCTAAAAGATATGTTTGTTCTTTTGGCAGTTCATGGGACACTCAGCACTCTCCTCCAGCTCAAATACATTGATCTTTCTCTTATCATCCTTTTTTATTGTTCAGCTCTCAGATGCATAGCAAGTGACTTAAAAGACCATGGCTTGGATCGGGCACACCTTAGTCTTTAATTTCATTGCTCTTAAATATTTAGAGAGGCCTTTGACAACAGATTCAGTGCAATATGGGAAAATTTGATTTCTTGACTGCCAATGCAGATTGTAGCTCCAAGAGATGAAACCATTGACAACTTCAATCTCTTCTCCATCTATCATGATATTGCCTATTGGCCCATTGGTGAAGACCTGTTTTCTTGATGTTGAGATGTAATCCATATTAAAATATTACATGTTGTCATTGTTATTCTGCAACAAGTGCTTCACTTTCAGCAAGTAAGGGAGTGTCATCTGCATAACAAAGTTGGTTGATAGTGTTTTTCTGATCCTGATACTACATCCTACTTCATAAGGTTCAGCTGCTGAAACGATTTGTTCAACATAAAGATTGAAAAAATATGGAGAGAGGATATAGTCCTGAAGCAGGCCTTTTTTGAAGTTAAACAGGGCAGTGTTCCCTTACTCCGTTCAAACAACATCTTCTTGATCTAAGTATAGTTTTATTCCTCTTAATTCCACTTAATTAATTAATTAATCCCCCTGCCCCACAGTATAATTCTCCTCTTAATTGTTTTGGAATTCCTATTCTTCTCAATGTCAGCCATAATTTGTTATGATCCACACAGTCAGATGCTGTGTATAGTCAATAAAACACAAACAGACATTCTTCTCATGTTCTTTGCTTTCAGCCAAGATCCACCTGACATTTGAAATGATAAACCTTGTACCATGGACTCTTCTAAGCCCAGCTTGGCAATTCTCTCTCAATGTACTGTTCTGGTCATTTTTCAGATGATCTTCAGCTTGCATGTGATGTTAATAATATTATTTAATAATTTCCACAATCTTTTGGGTCACCTTTCTTGGAAATGGGAACAAATATGAATATTGTAAGTAGTACTATAAAACAAGATATATGAATGGATGAAAAGTGAATTTACTTTGTAAACTTTCACTCAACTCACAATTTTAAAAAAAGGAGAGTGCCCAGAGTACTCAAAAGAGTGCTCAAAGCACTAGAGTCGTGAGGTAATGGCTTTACTTCTCCAGCTCCCTAATATCACAAGCCAAAACTTATTCTGTCAGTGGATCAGACCTTCCTCTGGCTCTGAGAGGCTACAAAACTTTACAGAAGGAGACCTCCACCTTTCTACATGAGGAGCAGTTGTTGGATTTGAATTACCAACCTTTTGGTTAGCAGCCCACTATATCACCAGGGCGCCTTGGTAGCACCCTCACAGACTGGGATAAAAGGAATGTCTAGAGACAGGTTTGGTGGACAACTGCCTTGATGGAGAGGAATGATGCTGGAGAGTCCCCAAGACACACCAACTCCTTTGACTTTTTTGTTTTTTAATGAAACATAAATATGCTCATCCCCAGATTCCCCTTCATTACCAGCACTCCCTCACCTCCCATTACAGTTCTTACCCTATCCTCATTCCTTGGGTCCACTTCTTTCTGGGATTTTAAGGAAGGTACAAGGAATCAAGATGGTGGTCAACTTTGGGTTCAGGGAGTGAACAAATGGCTGTGCTCCCATTGGCCAAATAGCGCGCCCCTCAAGGAGAGCCAGGCTCCAGTGGGCTTGTCTTACCCTTCACCTTCGCCTCCTCTCTCTACTTATCTTCACCATACAGGGAGTCATCTTGAAATATCTTCCCCCAGGGACATCTTCTACCCAAGTACCATTTGGAAGATCTTTTCTAGTGGAGAAGCAACATGCCCACACCTTGTCCTCTTTTGACTGAATTGACAACATCAATGACCCATACAGATGAAATGATCTTACCCTCCCCACCAAGTTCTATTTTGGAGGCATAAGGTTGCTAACTTATTCTGGTTCCTCAGAAGTCAGGATAATATAATATGGTGAGTTGATGATCCCAGAAATCTTCAGTCAGAGAAGTGTCACACATGAGTCTGGAGGCGGGGGTGGCTGGGTGTGGAGAAAGCAGCATATGGGAAGGGGGGAGTCCCAGGGGCCAGGTCTGGAGGTCCAAAGGACGTGGGTTTGATGTAGTTGGTGAAAGCTCGAGGATGGGGTGTGGTAAGGTAACCTGCCCGGGCCCTATACAGTCTGCAGGGGGGAGCCATGCCCAGGTGCGGGCTGAAGTCATAGAAGGTGGGTGTTGCTGGTGGCCCAAGGGGAGAGATGGGTGGTAGAAAGAGACCTCCTCCAGGGGCTTCACCAAGGCTCAGGCTCATACTGACTCCTCGGACCTTGTAATAACCATTGGTTGGGTCCTAAGGGGAAAGATGAGATTTGGTTAGGAATGGGTGGGTTCAGCAGGTGAGGGTAACTTGATGGAGACACACAGAAACAATGTCAGACCCAGAGAAAGCGGAAAGGACAGAGACTTTGGGACAGACAGGCTTATAGACTGGCAGAGAGAGAAAGTGAGACAGAAGAACAGTGGCAGGAGACAAAGGGGCAGAAGGAAACAGGCAGAGATGATGGAGACACGGAGGGATGGAGAGAGGCCTGCTGAATGGTGATGCTGTGGAAAGAGATGCAGAGAGCGAGAGATCAAAACCAAGATGCCGACCAGCCCTAGGGAGTCCCTGTGTCCTGAACATACTTAACCGCTAAGTAAAAGTTGGAAGTTCAAGTGCAGCCAGAGACACTTCAGGCAAAAGGTCCTACCTCTGACAAATTGGTCATTAAAAACCCTGTAGTTGGTGGTGGTTTGTTTTTTTTTAATCTTGGAGGGTTAACAGGGATAAGAAGGGAGGAAAAGGGGAACAATAATTACTAAATACGTAGGTTGCATGACGAGGAAAGCAACGTATGACGGGGGCTGGATGTGACATTATAATTCATTGCATTAACTAAATGGAATTAATAATAGAAAAGAAAATGTATAAGAATTAAAAAAAAATACTGTAAGTCTCTGAAACAAACAAAACACCAAACAACCAAAAAAACCCACTACAATAAACCCTATGGAGCACAATTCTCTGTGACACATGTAAGGCCACCAAGGTGATACTTGGTGACAAGAGCTAACAATCCCTAATGATTGTATGCTGTGTTGTGCCTGAGGTTTTGTTACAGACATCTGCCACTAGGATAGATCTAAGACTCTGTCTCCAGGGACCCTAGGCTAACAGGGAAAAGACAAATCACCAAACAGGGCTATAATGGAGAAGACACAGCAGAGCACCTGCTGCTGTTGTGGGGAGACCTTCAGCCACAGAGATGGCAGCAACACTAACGTGAAGTGATTGGGGCTGGATGGAGAAACCCAGGTCACAGTGGCCGTGCCTGAGACTGTGCAAACATAGGCAAAGTTGCATTATTAGGACTAGGACAGAGAAATTGAAGACAGTGTAGCCATGGCTGGCTACTAGGAAAGTTGAAGACAGATACAGGAAAACAGGAACAATGACGGAGCCTGGGGTAGGGAAAGCACAGGATTCCTAGAACCAGAAATGTCTGAGCTGAATAAAAGAAAGATGAAAGACCTAAACAAGTGGAAAAATGTGTCCTGTTCATGGATAGGAAGACTCAATATTGTGAAAATGACAATCCTACCAAAAGCAATCTACATGCTCAACACAATCCTAATACAGGTATCAAATTCATTTTTCAATGAGATCAAAAGGGAAATTGCCAAGTTTATTTGGAGAGGAAAGAGACCTTAAATAAGCAAAACACTTTTGGAAACCAAAACTGAAGTGGAAGGCATAGTAGCATTACCTGACTTCAAAACCTACTATACAACGGTAGTAACCAAAACAGCACAGTACAATGACAGGCACATAGACCAATGGAACAGAATGGAGAACCCAGAAATGAATCCATCTATCTATGATAAACTGATATTCAACAAGGAAATGAAACCTATCAAATAGAGAAATGACAACCTCTTTAATAAATGGTGCTGGTAAAATGGGAATGCTACCTGCAGAAAGCTGAAACAGGATCCACATCTCACACCACACACAAAAATCACCTCAAGGTGGATCAGAGACCTGGGAGTAAAGCCCAAAACCATAAAGTTCATAAGGGATCAAGCTTAGAAGGCCTAGTCTATGGTATAAAGAGGCTGTCAAATACAGCCAGAAATGAAATGCATAATCTGGAGAGGATAAAAATGATGAAAGGGACCTCCTAAAGATTAAATCCCGTGCACATCAAAAACATTTTTCCAACAGATTGAAAAGAAAACCTACTGACTGGGAAAAAAACATTTGGCAATAGTATTTCAGACAAGGGTCTCATATCAAAAGTTTACAGAATCCTACAGGGCCTACACACACACACACACACACACACACACTGATAATGTAATTACAAAATGGGCAAAAGACATGAAAAGCATTTTCACAGAGGAGGACATTAGATGGCCAACAGACACTTGAAGAAATGTTCAAAATCACTGGCAATAAGAGAGATGCAAATCAAAACCACAATGAGATACCATCTCATTCCAGTAGTGGCAAACTTTAACAGGGTGGCAAGTAACAAATGTTGGAGACGATGTGGTGAGATAGGGACTCTTCTTTTTTTCTTCTTTCTATTTTTTTTTAATTTTTTAAAAATTTTCTACTAGTTTATTTATAAAATTCGAATACACTGTTTTCAAGAGCAAATTCTTTCAAATTCCCTCACCCCTCATCAAATTGTATAACCCCATGATTAATCCCCATCTCCCCCTGCACATCCACATCCCTCTGCTTCCAACCACTCCCACCCCTCCTGGATCCTTATAGTCATTCTATAATAATGGTCTTATGCAATATTTATCCTTGTGGGACTGAATTAGTTCACTCAGCATAATGCTCTCTAGTCCCTCCCAAGTTAGGTAATAATTTACAAAATCATTGCTCCTGCATGCCGCATAGTATTCCACTGTGTGGAATTTAATTTATCAATTAATTAATTAATTTTAATTAATTTCTCAATCCATTTGTTTGTGGTTGAACATTTGGGCTCTCTCCATGTTTTTGTGATGGTGAATAATGCTGCTATGAACATTGGTGTACAAATCTCAGTTTGTGCCTCAGTTCTCATTTTCTCAGGGTATGTTCCAAGTAGTGGAATACTTGAGTCATGTGGAATTTCTATGTTCAGCTTTTTTGAGGAAGTGCCAAACAGCCCTCCAGAATGGTTGCACCATTTCATAATCCCACCAACAATATATGAGTTTCTTTCTCACCACATCCTCTCCAACATCTATTACTTGCTGCCTGTTAAACTTTGCCACTGTTACTGGAGTGAGATGGTACCTCATTATGTACATGTTCCAAGAGGGGAAGGGTGGGTGGGAGTGAGGGTTTAATCATAGGGTCGTACAATTTGATGGGTAGAGGGAGGTGTGGGTAAAGGAAATGGGAAAGATCCAGTGTGAATAACAATGTATATGAACTTTGTAAGTAAACCAGTATAAAATAAAAATTGTATTAAAAAAAAAGAGGGATGAAGTAGCTCTGGGGAAATGAGTATGTTTCTGGTCCAGTGTATTCTAGATACAAAGGATAAAGAGGACTCAGGACGGGGTACTGGGTTCAATGGGGACACCTGAAGTGGTTCCCCGAGGAGGGACAGATTTGGGGGTATACTGGCTAGTGTATGATCCAAAGATGGTGTTTGAGGAAGGGAAGACATCGAGGAGGCCTAAAAACATGACTGAAACAGATACACAAAATACAGGCAGAGCATTCTCTGATCTGGGGCTCAGGAGAGAGGCCAGTCCTGAGACAGGCACATGGGCAGTGGAGGTGGGTGAGATAGCTCAAGAGGAGAAGAGGAGCAAGCTCTGGTGGCCTAGCGGCAAGAAGCTGCACTGCAGTCCCAAAGGTACATGGTTCGAATCCACCAGATGCTCTGCTGGAGAAGGAGGGACAATCCCCTCCTGTGCCAGTCAGATCCGATTTGACAGTGCGCGCGCGCGCGCGCACACACACACACACACACACACACACACACACTTTAAAAAAGAGAGAGAGAGGAGGAGAAGAGAGGGTTAGGTCCTAGTTGTGGGAGCTAGGGAATAGAAGAGGAGGAGTCAGAGCAGGCAGAAAGCTGGAGGCACAGTGAAGAGGCCCTTTCCCTCTCTCAACACTCACCTTGGGCTCCAGAGCTCCCTCGTCATCTAGACCCGGGTTACTGTGGTCTGTGTGAATGATGGGGCCCTGGGGATAAATGGTCAGTCAGACAGGATGCTCTGTCATACCAGACCCCTAGGACCCTCAGCCGATGGGAGAACGTCAAGGTAGAGAGTCTAAGTGTATCCAGAAGCTCAAAGGCAGTGCTGGGGACATGCTGGATCTAGGCAATAGTTGGGTCAGAGGGATTTGCAGACTTCAGGACATTGGGTCTGGGATCACTGTTAGGACTGGGGTACTGTTTGAGTTTAGGGCCTAGTTGAGATTGGGAGCACAGGTGGGTCTGGATGCTTTTTGGGTCTAGAAGCACACTGGAGTCTGAGATGATGGCATCCTACCGGGTCTTCTCCACTGGTCATCTCCTCTTCCTCAGGCCCCCGAGAACTGGAGACGTCACTGCTGCCTGGGATTCGAACTAGGTTCTTTTGCTTGGAGAAGGAAGCTAAGGCCAGGACAGCATGGAGGTAAGCAATGAGGCAGGTCAGTTTGTGGAGAACAACAAGAGGGAGGAGAGAGGACTGGGGCAGTTGGACTAGCGATCCTGGGAACCAATGGAATTCAGACCTGCTCAGGGCTATGAGTATAACCCTGAGGGGAGGGTTAGGGTTTAAGGGAGAAAGCAAACCTGACCGGGATAGAGAGGGAGACTGGGGCCGAGTTCCAAGGCCTGGGGCACTGACCTTTGCCATGGTGCCAGCAGCAGAGAGCCACCCCAGTGATGACCAAAACAAGAGTGGTGGCCGCGGCGGCCACAGTGGCCACAATGTGCACAATGGGCAGCAAATCTGCAGAGAGGAGAGGGGGCATTCTGAGGGGACTGAGGAATAACTAGGGAAAAGGGACTCTAAGGTCGAAGTCCCTGGAACACAAAAGGTTACCAAGTTTGGAGATTCTCAAGGCTTTAGTCCATGTATTTAAACCAGGTTTCGAGGCTCCCTGGTGGAAGTCTGGTAACAGAGCCTGGAGTAAGTTGCACTGCTAACTCAAAGGCTGGGCATCTCCAAAAGTTCAATCCACCAGCAGCTCCAAGCGAGAGAGACACAATCTCCTCTGCCATTTAAAGCCTCTCAGAAAACCAATAGAGAGTCTTTTAAGTCAGAACTGACTCTGTTGTTAGGTGCTGCCGAGTTGAGTACAACTTACAGGGACAAACAGCCAACCTGAACCCTACCACCTTCTGTGCCATCCTCATCATCTCTCAAAAAACTAGAGCCCAAAGCTTACATCACTATGTCAATCCATCTTTTGGGGGTTCTTCCTCTCCTTTGCTGACCCTCCATCTTTCCAAGTAATTTTTTTCCTACAGAATAGCCTCACCTTGCTTTGTTGTTGTTGTAATGTGCAACCCTATGTGCAACAGATCTGAACCCTGATATGTCCTAAGCCAATCTTATTGTCTGTGACACACCTACCCCCATTACCCCAGTCACTGAGTCAATCCATCTCATCAAGGGTCTTTCCCTCCAACCTTGTTCCTCCACCCTCCCAAGCATGATCTCCCTCTCCAAGGACTGGTCCCTCCTTGCAATGTGCCCAAAGTATGTTAGACAGAGCTTCCTAATCCTTGCCTTCAAGGAGTAGCCTTGCTTCCTGTCCAAAATATGAAAGATAAAGTTTCACCATCCTTGCCTCCAAAGGAACACTCTGACTGCACTTTTTCCAAGACATATTTTTGTTCTCTTGGCAGTCCATGGTATATTCAATACTCTTCTCTAGCACCACAACTCAAAGACATCAATTCTATGTCATCTTTTATTCATTGTCCAGCTCTCTGATGTGTAGCAGGTGATTGAGAAAACCATGGCTTGAATCAGGCACACTTTAGTCTTCAGACTGACATCATTGTTCTTCATAATTTTGGAGAGGCCCCTGACAGCAGACTTGTCCAATGCAATATGTCTCTAGCTTTTCTGACGGCTGGTACCAAGGGTGCTGCTTGCTGATTCAAGCAAGATGAAACCATTGACAGCTTCAATCCTTTCTCCATTTATCATAAAGTTGACTGTTGGTCTTGTAGTGAGGATCCTGTCTCTAGGGCAGTAAAGTGTGAAAACTGTAACAGGTTAAGTGTTGGGTTGCTAACTAACACATCTGAAACTCCCAGCTGATCTGTGATAATAAGAAAAAGCCATAACCTACAACCAGGAGAAGATAAAGCAGATGAATGGGATCATCTAAGAATCAAATCCCTGTGCACATCCAAAAACTTCTCCAACAGGGTTAAAAGGGAAGCTACCGACTGGAAAAGGTAATAACATATCAGATAAGGGACTTATATCCAGAATTTATAAAATACTTGAGCACCACAACAAGAAAAAGGGAAATAATCCAATAGAAAAATGGGCACAGGATATGAACAGACACTTCACCAAAGAAGACATTCAGATGGCCAACAAACACATGAAGAAATGTTCAAAATCCCTAGCTCTAAGAGAGAAGCAAATTAAAACAACTATGAGACATCATCTCACCCCAGTAAGAATAGAAAAGTTTAACAGAACAGCAAGCAAAAAATGCTGGCAAGGTTGTGGAGAAACTGGAACCCTCATTCACTGTTGGTAGGAGTGTAAAATGGTGCAACCACTGTGGAAGGCGGTATGGTACTTTCTCAAAAAGTTGAAAATAAAGATAGCATTTGACCCAGCAGTTCCACTACTAGGAATATACCCCAAAGAGACCATTGCAGCTTTGTTCAAAATAGCGAGGAGTTGGAAACAACCTAAGTACCCATCAACAAACGGATGGATAGAGAAGCTGTGGTATATTCACACAATAGAATACTATGCTGCATTGAAAAACAAGGAACTCATGCAATATTATTCAAAATGCGTGACTCTGGAGGACATTATGCTGAATGAAGCATCTCAGCCACAAAAGGACAAATACTGCATGGTGCCACTGTTGTAAAATAGGACTGACCTTCGGGTTGGGGAGAGACTGAGAAAGATGGGTTCAATAATGTATATTGCACTGAAACAGATGAGGGAGAAAACTGTTTAAAAGAGATATATGACTAGGTACTTCTGTCATCACAGGAGTCTAGAGCGAGGGCTACATGGTGGAGGGGACCTGGGGGAGGGTTTGTAAAACAATGAAAGAATCCTTTCTTTTACTTTTCCATAATTTTTGACTCATGTACTTATAACTTGTTAGTCAAATTTGTGTCTAACAACTGGGATCTAGAGGGAAGAGAAAAGACCAGAGAATGGCCAAAATTATTGGGGCAGCTATTGCTGCCAGTTTAGAGCCTGTGTCAGGAAAAGGAAGTCTTACTCATAAACAATGCCACCCAAAGGTAATAAAGGAGGTCAGAATTGCTTCCACTGTGGAAATCTGGGTTAATTCAGTAGACAGTGTCACAGACAAGAGCCACAGATAGGCAAGGGAGTAGAGAGGAAGCTCCCCTCACTTGCTTTAAGTGTGGATCTGAAGGACACTTGGCCAAGGGCGACTCACAGCAGGTCCTCGTGGCTGACAGGACTGACAGGCCCCAGCTCCCAGCTGGAAATGAAGGAGGACACTTTAACAATTCAGATGCTCCCAGAAGAGCCGGGGGGTGAGCATTAACATTACTGGTAAGTATATTCATTTTCTCCTGGACACAAGAGCCTACTGTTTGGTCCTAAAAGCCTTCCGAGGTCCCAACTTCTCTCACTGTTTCTTAGTTGTTGGAATTGACAGAAAACCTCATAAGCAGTTCCTTACTTCACCTCTGCCTTGCATGTGGACTTCCGAGTTGTAAAACAACCCAGTGGCAGATGGAATTTGGTCCAGGACTTAAGAACAATGAATGATATAGTTGAGCCTCTACATCTTGTGGTTCCTAACCTTTATACTATAATAGACAAAGTGCTAGTCAATAAACCTTTTCTTTTAAGAACTACCTTCCCTCTGTAACTTGATTTACGCCACTGTTCGAACCTCTACTTGGAATATTATTGCTTTTAATTTTTTACTCATGTACTTTTAACTTGTTAAATTTGTGTCTTCTAGGCTGCAACAGTTCCATGATGCATCTTTGTATGGCTAAGCACAATTGATAACAGTGCATCTAAATTCCAAAATCAATTCCACAATAGTCTACATGTTTTCTATTGCCAAAGGGACCCTTTAGAGTAGTGAGAGAAGATCTTCACCCTGAAACCTACAGCATACCTTTTCAGCAGGAAATAGCTAAGAGAATATGCTGTTCCCTTTTCCTTATGAATCAGGGTGAAATAATTCTCAGATAGGGAATGGCAAAAGGACACACTGACAAAGGAGATTAATCAGAACTGGTTTTGACAAGCACTGAGGTAATGGGTCACTTAAAACAGACTTTCAAGGGGGGAAAAAAGAGAGGAACAAACGGGGGGGAGAGAAAATAGTGCAACAATGAATGAATGGAAATCCAAAATCTCTGTAAATGTTCATTAAAATTAATAAAATAATTTTTTTAAAAAGCCATTTACTACATTAAAATCAAGAAAACAAAGATTCTCACCACTGTACCAATTGGTAGCACCTTTTTCAGATGGAGAAGAGATTGAGATTGTTAACAATTGCTTGGTTCCACAATCTACGCTTTTGGCACCAGTAATCAAGAAATCAGAAGATGAATTGCATTAGAAAAATCTTCTGTCAGAGACCTCTCCAGAGTACTGAAGAACAATCGTGTCAGTGTGGAGACAAAGGTGCGCTGAATCAGGCCACAGTCTTCACAATTAGTTGCTACACATCAGAGAGCTAGACAAGGACTAAGGATAATAGAAGAATCAATGTCTCTGAATTGTGGTACTGGAGAAGAGTATTGAACATACCATGGACTGCCAAGAAAACAGGTCTATCCTAGGGAAGGTGAAACCAAGTTGCTCATTGGAGGTAAGGAGTTTTGAAGCTCTGTCTGGCATACTTTGTACTTGTTGCCAGGAGGGACCAGTCTTTGGAGAAGGACATCATGCTTGAAAGGGCTAAGGGACAGTACAGAAGAGGAAGAAGGTCAATGAGATGAATTGTCACAGTAGCTGGAGTTATGGGGACAGGTGTGTCAGAGATGGTGAGATTACCTCAGTGAGACTGGCTCAGGATGGGGCAGAATTCATAGCTGCTGTGCATAATAAGGTCACTATGAGTCGCAGGGGACTCGATGGCACATAACAACAACATGTTAAAATCTGTGTTGTTAGATACCGTGGAATAACTTGACTCATAGCTGACCCTCCAGGAGTTTTGGTTTTTTGTTTTTTTTTTTTAATTTATTTATTTATTTATTGTTTGTGTGTGTGTGTGTGTGTGTGTGTGTGTGTGTGTGTGAGCGTACCGTCAAATCAGATCTGACTGGTACAGGAGGAGATTGTTCCTCCTTTTCCCGGCAGAGCATCTGGTGGATTTGAACCGTGTGCCTCTGGGACCTCCAGGAGTTTTAAGAGGCAGTAAACCACATGGGAGGAGATAGTCCATCTTTCTCCCATGGAATAACAAATGGATTCAACCTATGAGCCTTTGGGCTGGCACCACAACTTCTTACCACTAAGCCACCAAGGGCTCGCTTAGGTCTCTCAAGGCGCTATATTTGAGGGAATTATTTTGGGTGTCTCAGGATCCAGAGACCCATAAATTTAGGGTGTCGAGGTACAGGATCCTCTATTTTAGACTCTAAGTCGGGGTTGTCATCAGCTTGGAAATCCTTGAGTTTGTGGGAGGTTGGCGACAAATTTGAGGGCTCCAGGTCTGGGATTCTCACCTCTTCGGCCCAGGCTGACGTGGGTGCCTTCCTCGCCCAGCCGGTTCCGGGCACTGCAGTTGAAGCCCCTGCTAAAGTCCGATTCCTGGGTACCCGAAATGTGCAGCACAGAGATGAGGCCCGGGCCCTGTCCCTCGAGGCTCTCGGGAGCAGGGAACGTCTCCACTAAGAATCGGCCTCGCGACCCCGCTGCCAAAAAGCCCTCATCCCAAGACCAGACCTGGGGACACAAACAAGTGAGGTCGCCAAGATGGGGTGCGGGTAGGGGGGTGGTGGGGTGAGGCTGGGGAAGAGTAGAGTGGGATGTCACAAAATCGACAGGTTTGGGGTTTCCAGCAGCTTGGGAGCGTCTGTGGAGGCCAGGGATTACAGCTTGGTGGGTCATGGCTGGGGAACATTTCCTTACCACAGCTTCTGGGGAAGGGGAGGCGAACACTAGGCACTGGAGTCGGGCGGGGCCCCGGAGGAAAGCGGGCGCCGAGCGCAGAGCAGTGACCACAGGCGGAGCTGGGGGTGCAGATTGTGGACCAGTCAGAGCAGAGGTCCTGCCCCTAACTCTCTTCTCCATAAAGCCGCGCGGATTTCTCCACTAACCATGCCCAACCAAGCCACAGCACTCCCGCAAACTCAGATCCCCTGAAAACCTATCCTTCCCAAGCCCAGCTCCCATCCCCAGGCCCCGCGGGCAAGCTTCTCCCAAGGCACGCCCCATCCTCTAGAAACCCCAGTTTTCTCACAGTTCACGGTCAGCCTTGCTTCCGCAGTGCCGCCCCCCACGCCCGAAGCCCCCGGCTCGGCCTTGCACAAGTAGTCGCCAGCATCCTCGGACCCCACTGACCGTAGGCGCAAAGTGGGGCCAGAACCCAGCACCTGGAGCGAGAGGAGCGGTAAGGGGCGGGGCCTGTGAAATGTCCCGCCCCCTGCCCATTTGGTCACGCCCCTCGGCCGCCAACTCGGGCCTCACCTGCGCCCCCTCGCGGCGGGTCCACGTCACCCGAGGGGGCGGGTTTCCACGCCAGGAGCAGCTGAATGAGGCGTCTTCTCCGACGTCCACCACCACAGATTTGGGCTTTGCCTGCAGAATCGGCCCGACTGGAAGAGAGGAAGGGTAGGTGATGGCTGAGTAAGGACGTCACCACAAGTAGGGGTCCATAAAGCTCCACAATAACTCCTCCATTAATATCCTCGCCTGCCCCACCTCATTCCATCCCAACGTTCGCCTAAGGACCCCCTCTTTGCCATAACCAGGGGTGGTCGCCTCCCATTCCAGCCTCTAACCAAGTTCAGCCCACCCCGCTCACATAGCACGTTGAGCGCAGTGCTGCGGTTGGCGCTCCCCACTGCGTTGCTGACCTCGCAGGACACTGGTTCTATCAGGAACGAGACGTCTGCCACAAGCTCTAACCTTGGCCCACGGGCCCCGAGCACCGGGGATTCCCCCTTTGCCCACCTGCGGAGATGATGAGGTTCTTGGTGTCGCCCCCACTCCCCAGCCCAAGCACCCCTGCCCAGGCCCTACCCTGTGCCCTGATGTGGGGGAAGACAGCTCTCACCGGTAGCCAGTGACAGGAGGCTGGGCGGTGGCCTGGCACAGGAATGTGACCTTTTCTCCTTCCTGCACAGTCTGGGGTTCTACTGACAGAGTGACCACTGGGGGATCTGTGGGTGTGAGACAAGGTCAGCATGAGCAAGGACATGGAACACACCCATTAAGGGAAAAGAGTCCAGTTGCAAACCCCTCAACCCCTAGATGTTGCAAGGGTTTGGGCCTTCAGTCACCTGTCCCCCGGGTATCCCAGTGTGCAGACCCCCAGCCATGTCCTGCCTTCTAATATCTAGGAGTCCAGGTCCCAGCTCCCTCATTCCCGGGAGAACCTCAGGCGCAGGACCCAGCAGCCAGCTGCACTCACACTGTAAGCTCAATGTGACAGCTGTGTCTCTTCCAGTGGGCAGGGCCTGGCTCCGTGCCCGGCACACCAAGGTGGCTCCATCATCGTGGCTGGAAGGGGTCAGGAATAAAGTGCTCTCCACTGGCCCAGTGGTCCCTTCCTTCAGAGTCTGGAGGTAATGGATTATTTTACTATCTGCATCCACCGTTATGTAGCCTTCCTGCCTGCCAGACACTCCTTCAGCCATGTAAGCTCTTATTTTTTGCCACAATCATCTTTGTGCAAGCAGACTGTCCATTTTCTTCTCAAGGAGTAGCTAGTGGATGTGAACCCCTGACTTCTTGGTTATTAGCTGAGTGCTTTAATATTACCAAGGTACCTTTTAGAAATATAACTTTGTTGAATTATTGCATTTGATTAAGGTACTGAGTTCTGTGGCCTAGTGGCAAAGAGTTCTGCTACTAACCCGAAGGCATGTGGTTAAAATCCATCAGCTGCTCTGTGGAAAAGGATGGGCAACCTCCTCCTATGCAATTTACTGCCTCTGAAAACCCACTGGAGAATCAGCTATGGGTTAGTTCTGACTTGAGGGTACATAAACAACAACATTAAAGTACTGTTATTTACTTAAGGTTCTAATATCTCCATTTTTCAGATAAGATAACTGCATTTTACAGATAAGGTTACAAAGAGGTTAAGTAACTAACTTATTTAAAGTCAATCAACTAGTGATCGAGCCAAGGTTGGAACCCAGGCAATCTACTACTCTAGTCCACTTTAACCCTGCCTGCCCGTATCTTTCTCTCCTCTGAGCCTGAAGTCACAGTGGATCTGAGTTTGAGTTTCTCTGAGTAAAGACTTGGACCTGACCTGATGGAAGGTGGCCCCATCCAGCTGGACCCCATCTCGGAACCATAATAGCTCAGGTGTGGGGCGGGCATCCCCATGGCTCCGACAGGTCAAATTCGCAGGAACCCCAGCAACCAGAGACACAGCAGGGCTTCCCAGCACCAGGGGAGCTTCCGGGGGCACTGCAGGATGAATTGGGGATTAGAGCTGATCTCAGGCCCAGAGTCACAGACTGACCATTCCCTTAGGCTCCCTGGACTCCCAGGCAATTTGGGTTTGCAGAAGACACAGTGATGAATAGTTACCTAATACATGCAGTTGGGCAGGGCGAGACCGGAGGCCTGCCTGTGAGGCTTGACATTCATACAGTGCTTCATCTTCTAGCTGCACCGGCCTGATGTGGAGGTTGTGTTGGCCACTGGCTGCATTCCCAGAGATCCAGTAGCGGGACCATCCTGGAGTCAGGAAGAGGCAGTTACATCATGGTCTGAGTTCCAGACCCAAGCTTCTATGCTCATATACCCCATACCAGAAAAGTGACCCAGGCAGCCTCCATAACACACGAGCTCCGGTGCTGCCTACACACAGACAAGTAGTTTGAAACCATCAAGTTACTCCTTGGGAGAAAGATAGGCAATCTTGTCCTGCTTGATTTACAGCCTCTGAAACCCCACTGGAGGGTCAGCTATGCCTTAGTTCTAACTCATGAATAGTAGTGTTTAGGCCCAGAGAGCCTCTAACCCCTTCCCAATCCAGTTACTTGGGGATGGAAATGTCAGAAAGAAAAGCTAAAAAGCAATTGTTATGTCAGGATGGCTATTATCTCTACAGCTGGAAGGGGGGGAGAGTCTAACTAAAGGGTCTATGGAGGGATTCCAGAGAGCAGGGTATTGGTTATGTGGGTATCTATTTTATAACCATTTGGAAAATCTTCCATTTATGTTTTATGCATTAGTTTCTGCATTATTTATATGATATTTCACAATAAAAACGAAAACCTCAACTCCCATTGACCAACCCAAAGAAATGCAAAAATCAAGCCCACCAGATGAGCCCATTTACCTTCCAAACTTGAATATGTCAAATTGTGAAGGCACAACCCAGGCACAGCACTCCTACCCCGAGCGCCTTCCTGAGCCAGCACACAGCCTCACCTGGCAGGTCGCGTTCGCCCCCTAGAGCCAGTCCATCCTTAGTCCATTGAACCAGCCCCCAGTACGCGCCCAGGGCACACGATAGCCGGGCCTCCTCTCCCAGCAGCACTACCAGGTCCTCTGGCTGCTGCAAGAAGTGGGGCGACAGGTCTAGAAGGAAGAGGAGGGGGACAATAGAGCTTGGCTTAGCCCTTTCAAGAGCTCTTTCTTTTCAAGACCCAGGAGTCTGGGCTTCAGATCTTCTTATCCCGGGACCTCAACTTCAACCTCAAGTCCCTCTCTCCTCGCCCCTACAAGCCCAGGACCCTAGAATTTTCCCACAGACTCAGGATTGTCGGTCCTCAGTATGCTTCTCCCTAGTCAAGCCAGCAGCCAGCTCTCTTTTTCATTGCTTCCCCCTTGAGGTACCTGCACGCCCTTCAATGCAGCAAAGGAGGACAAGGAGGGCGGGCGCCAGCATCCTGAGTATGTATCTCCAATATCCGTGCGACTTGTTGCTAACTTCTAACACCTTTCACCCCCCTGATCCAGAGCCCCTTCCCTCCTGACACTCTGGCGCCAGCTCGAAGCTCCCAGTTCCCGGCCAGGACTTCTCCAAGAGCGCTCCTCGGCTTTCTCCGACCGACTCTGCAGCCAGTTTCGCGCACTTAAACTCTGCACTACTCAGAGAGGCTCCTGGACGTTCGCCCCGCCCCGGCCCGCCCCCCGGGAGACCCGCCCTTTCCCTTTCAGAATCTCCCAAGGTAGCGATGTGGATGAATGGGGGCGCGCTGGGCCAGGCTCCCCGGGGCGGGCGGTCTCCCCAGCCAAATTGGGGTCTGGAAGCAGTAACAGCTGGTTGAAGGAGAGGGTACCCAGCTGGGGCTGGACATCTGCGCCCTTCAGGGTGAGAGGGACAGAGTGAGGGAGAGAGAGGATAAAGAGTGGAAGAAACTCGCTCAGCTCGGCTCCTGGAGGGACTGCGCAGAGTGGAAACCAAGCTATAAATGGGAGTCCCCCGGGGCCGCTCCAGTTTCCGCGCCCTGGGAGAGGCGAGGCGGGAGCCTGGGCTCAGGACTCCCCTGGGTTTGCGGGTCAGGAAGAGGGCGCAGGGGACCTTGAAGGGCTACCAGGACCCTGTGGAGGGTGGGCCAGCTTCCAAATCCCTCCCCGAAGTACCCCCTCTGCCTGACTTGCTCCTGCTGTACCATGTCCTACAATCTAGGAATCCGCGACCCTTCCTTTCCCAGGACCTCTCCTCGCTCTGCGGGCCCCCTGCCGCGGCGGCCCGGTTGCTGGGCGACGGCTGAGAAGCAGCGATGGCTGGGCGGTGACGCGTAGAGGCTGAGAACCGCGCAGCTTGTCCTGACAGCTCCGTGCGCCCAGCTGGGGCGTTCCCACGCTGCCAGTGGGCTGGTGAGCTGCGCAGCTGGCTGAGCAGGTGGATGGGACCCGGACAGGACAGGAGGCGTACTGGGGGTCTGGGGACCCGCATCTGACGTTCCTGGGATGTGGGGACATTCTGATTTATTTTGGGACTTAGATTCTGGGGTTGTCCTCCCAGGATTCTAATGTTGTTCGGTCTCATGCTGGTTAAAAGTGATGAACTGAGGGCTGGGTTTCTGAAGGTCTGGAAACTGAACTCTCAGGATCTCTGTCTCTATCAGGGTGCAGTTGGGAGAATGGCAGAGGGTCAGAAAATCTGGTCTTAAGTCTTAAAGCCAGTGGATTTAACCACCAATCTCTCTCCCGCCCCCACACAACCCAGGAGGATTTGAAAATCAGCAAACAGTAACATCTGTCCTGAGTCCCAAGGGGGGTGAGTGGAGGTCTGAGCTCCTGGATCCTAAGGGAGAAAGGACTGGGGACCTGGACTTCTTAGCCGGAGAGGGAAAAGTCCTGGGGAGCAGGGCAGATTTCCATGTCTGGGAGCCTGAACTTTTCTGGCTTAATGGTTATTTAGCATCTGGATTTTTAACTCAGTTGAGCTTGGCACAGAGACTCTTGGGTCTTGGGAAGAAAGTCAGGGGGTGAGGCTGTTTTTTCAGACACCTGATATTGCTTCCCCGTCGTCCTGGCCCTGTGGGGCCACCAGTATGGAAAGATGGAGAGCTCAAGGTCCCAGGAGCTTTCAGAGACGAAAAACAGCCAAAGAAGAGGGTGGAAGGTTTGTGCTAATTAAAGGTCACAACAACTGACAGCTTTCTCTGCCCTGGTTCCTGGGGACACCATCTGGTGAGGGTCCCGTGACAGACTCCCAGCTCTTCATTCAGCTGATATCCCAGGAGATGATTGAGAGAGGCAGGGTGGGAGGAAGGTAAGAAGTCAATAGTGGAAAAGAAGAAAGACTAAAGGGCGCATCATACTGGGGGCTGGGGGCTCAGGCCAGATGCCTAGAGGAGTAGCTTGGAAGCAGGGGGTCACAGACGGAGAGAAAGTACAAGCAAGCCTTTCAATTCCCTTAGGAGATAAGCAAGCAGAAGAAGCCTAGGCTCTGTGCTTGTGTATTTGCATACTGGAGTGGGGAGGCTGAGCTAGCCAGCATAGGGTAATAAAATTTGAAGATGTAGCCATCAGGAAGACTCAGAGGCAGAAACAAATACAGGACGGGCATAGTGCAAGCTTGACTGAGGAGAAATAGTTACCGAGCTCTGGATGTGTGAAAGAGCTAGAGGTGGAACAGACACAGAGAGAACAAGAGGGATATATAAAGGCCTATTGAGAAAAACATAGGGAAAAGCAGGGGTAAGAGAGAAAGAAAAGGTTAAGTTAGAGGAAGCTGAGTGCCTAACAAGGAGGGTGAGAAAGCAAGAAAAATATGCTGTGCCTGAAATGGAGCAAGATATGGGGGTGGGGGGTGTATATGAGTCATGCTCGACTCAAAGACAATAAACTATATATCTATATATCTGTATTTATATCTAACAATAATCCTGGACCAAAGTCTTTTTTACTCACTGTTTCTTTGATAGCATACTACTTTTTCTTTGACCAATTCATGGTTATGATATTTTTCTTCTTTTCCTTTTTTTAAAATTTAAATTTATTATTAATTTCAGTAAAAATTTACAGAGACTTTGGATTTCCATTCATTCATTGTTGCACTTTTCTTCCCTCCCAACCCTCCCCCCTAGTACACTACCCTCTCGGAAAAGTAAAAGAAAAATTCTTTCATTGTTTTACAAACCCTCCCCCAGGTCCACTCCACCATGTAGCCTTCACTCTAGACTCCTGTCATGATAAAAATACCTAATCTCATACCCCTTTAAAACAGTTTTCTCCCTCATCTGTTTCAATGCAGTATACACTATTGAACCCATCTTTCTCAGTCTCTCCCCAACCCCAAGGTCAGTCCTATTTTACAACAGTGGCACGATGCAGTATTTGTCCTTTTGTGGCTGAGATGCTTCATTCAGCATAATGTCCTCCAGAGTCACGCATTTTGAATAAAATTGCATGAGTTCCTTGTTTTTCAATGCAGCATAGTATTCCATTGTGTGAATATACCACAGCTTCTCTATCCATTAGTTTGAGGGTTGGGGGCAGAAGGGTGAGGATGGGCCAGGATGCAGTTGCAGAGCTGCACAGTTTGGTCGGTGGGGGGAGCAGGTGAAGGAAATAATGAGGGTCCAGAGGGGACCAGATCCTACAAAGGAATGACAAGCATTTTCCAATGGTAATTAAACCAACTGTCTTATTGATTTGGGAATTGGATGCCGACTCTCTGGCTTCTTCATGCTGAACAGGGGCGTAGATGTAAAGGGGGAAGGGAGGACGCTTTATCACCTTACTGGTGGTCTTGGGTTAAAGCTGCTTGCCTTCTTGCTCTGTTAGAAGATATTTTCCTGTCATTTGCTCCCCTCTGGACTGCAAAGTGTTTTCCCAGGTGGGTCCAGTGGGGATGGCTGGTTGAACCCAGAGGCTCCATCCTCCTTTGCTTCCTTAGCTGTCAGTTGTATTTCCTTTTTGTCACTGGCACTGGGTTCAGGGTCAATTCTGAAGTAAAACTCAGAGTTAAGTTTACCTATAGGAAAGGGAGCAAACCTAGAGAGAACAAACTTGTGAGTTACAGATAGAAGGGCTTTGAGGGTGTTGCTTTCAGGTTTACTGGGGGGGAGGGTGGCAAAAGGTGGCCTAGGTAACACTGGATACCCTAGGCATTTTTTTTTCTCCTTCACCACCCAGGAGTCAATCTGGGGACAATGGCACAAACTGGGGACTGAAGAGCTCACCCTGAGGGCTGCGACAGCTCACCCCGAGCCGAAGGCAGCCTGCCCCGGGCAGAGGGCCACGACGGCTCACCCCGAGCCGGGGGCCGAGGGCAGCCTGCCCTGGGCAGGGGGCCGCGAGAAGCCCGCCCTGGGCAGAGGTCCGAGGGCAGCCCACCCCAGGCAGGGGGCCACGATGGCTCGCCCCGGGCAGAGGGCCACGACGGCTCACCCCGAGCCGGGGGCCGAGGGCAGCCCGCCCCGGGCAGAGGGCCACGACGGCTCACCCCGAGCCGGGGGCCGAGGGCAGCCTGCCCTGGGCAGGGGGCCGCGACGGCTCGCCCCGAGCCAGGGGCCGAGCCATTCGTTTCTTGATGGGCACTTAGGTTGTTTCCAATTCCTTGCTATTGTGAACAAACCCACAATAAACATGGGCATGCATATATCTGCTTGGAGGTCAGTTATGGTCTTTTTGAGGTATATTCCCGGTAGTGGAATTGCTGGGTCAAATGGTATCTCTATTTGCAGCTTTTTCAGAAAGCACCATATCACCTTCCACAGTGGTTACACCATTTTACACTCCCACCAACAGTGAATAAGAGTTCCAATTTCTCCACAACCTTGCCTGCATTTGTTGCTTGCTGTTCTGTTAAATTTTGCTATTCTGACTGGGGTGAGATGATATCTCATAGTTGTTTTAATTTGCTTCTCTCTTAGAGCTAGGGATTTTGAACATTTCTTCATGTGTTTGTTCGCCATCTGAATGTCTT